CAAAGCGGAACTAAATATCACTCGTTCTCCCTAAAACATTATTCTTTGAATTGGACTCATTTTTTAATGTATCAAGTTGTTCCGTGGTCACATTTAGAATTCAATTTATGTAACAAATTCACGTTGTATGTAACGCCGATCACTTTGCCAATAGAAAATTTTTTAGCGGAGCTAGTTTCACCAAGAATTCTTGATCATATACAGTATATGTATCAATAATAATATACCAAAATAAAATCTCGAAATACACATTACATGCAAAAGTAAACATAATTATACAGTATAAGCGAAATCGAGCAATCAATCACAGTACAGTGATGCAGAAATCGGTCGTCCAATGGTACGCAAGTATCGACTAATCAACACTGGGGACACGTGGCAAACACTATTTTAACCTGGTGTGCAGGAAATGAATACATCCTTAACCTTTTTAACATGACGAATCCAATTCTCGGTGCTTCGATGGTCGTTGGACCTGTGCTCGGGTATTTTGATCAAATAAGAAAATTCCGAGCAACAAGATCAAGTTCCGGATTCTCTTTGGATACACCCGGGATCTTATTAATTAGCAGGTTAACATCTAGTTCGATACGAAATTCCCGATACAGTATTTTTTTTAAACAAGATTAATGCTTTTGCAAAATTCAACGATTTTTTATTTTGATTTAGCATCATACGCATCTATTTCTGGTAAGTAATCAACGAAATTTCAGTTGCCTGTTTTGTTTATTCGCGGCTTCACCCTTTGCACAATGCAATATGCAATGCAATTTCCATAGGTTAGGAAGAAGATTTGATATTACACTCCTTTATCAGAGTATTGCAATGATATCCGTTCAAATATGGCTTCTTTTTGAATGCATCCGATTTCGAATTCCAACTTCATCGATCAACAATCGACGCCGTTGGTTTTGGAACTGGTACACCTTTGAGCCTTACATGGTTTGTTTGGCCTCATTGGTCGCGATGTTGAGCGTGACGTTTTACCTCTTTGAAAATAAAACTTGGTATATCGAACTTCTAGGATATTTGGTAAGATACAGGATTTAGGATATTTATGAATATTTCAAACGCTCGGTTCTGCTTATTTACCGTCTTGATAATTAATACCCGAAGGCACTTGGCATTGAGAGCACGGTTCCCATGCCGCAAGCGTGGCAAAATTATAAAAACAAATCGGTGATAGGATTTAGGTGGGCGAGGACATCCGTCTGATCTTGTACATGCTTTGGTTATCTTTTGTTTGACGATTAATTAATATCGATTGCATTCGATACGATATACCCCGATAGTTCGATAATTCTCTTTACGTGGTTCATAGGTGATGCATTCAAGGTTTTTTATTACGCTTACACCGAGGCACCGCTTCAATTTATTCTTTGTGGAGTGACACAGCTGTGTGTGGACTTTGTCATTGTTGCTCAGTTTCTCTTATACAATAAGACCACTCATCGTCTCTGAGTAATTTATCCAGTAAATTCTCTCACTTCCACCTTTATTAATTAAAGTCGACATAAAATAATTCCAAATACTTTTTTCTACTTTGTTTTACGTACATATCGCGTTTGCTTGTTTCGCGTTCTCTAACCATACTTACTAGTTATTACCTTTAATTTTTGCAATAATTCACTTTAAATATAAGGTCATGAATTACAAATATAAATTATATTGACACGCAAAGAGACTTATTTTTCTTTTTTTTTATTGAAAAAATTACGTGAAGACATAAACTGAACAAATATATTGATTTTCTCTTAAACGATTGAGTGAATCGTTCTTAATGATAAATCTCATAAATAATTTGATTCATTTCACTCGGATCAATCAATCCGTCATTGTCTTTGTCGTAAAAGTTGAATAGCCCTATTTTACGTGAGTAATGTAAGCACAATTGTAAAGGAAAGTTTAATCCAAGTTAGTTAATTAAAAGATGACTTACATCTGGCATTCTCGATCTTGTCTTCGGATATCTTTTGATTTTCCACAAAGTTGTTGAAATCAATTAATCCGAGGGTTTTCTCTTGTGAATCTATCACAATGTATTCCTCATCCTCCTCAAGATTCGTTGTGTATTCGTCCAAATCTATGAGCGTAGACCCGTCTTCGCTGTCATCTTCAAATGGGATTTCCTCTCTATTACCGCATTTTCTACCTCCTCGTCCCTTCTTTCTATTTAATACACTTGCCATGTCTAACAAGTGAATGTCAAATGATTTTACACTAGCAAACGAAGAAACTTTTCGGAGTTTTTTGTTTTTCGGGGATTTTGGCTTACGCGTCTTACGGCAATTTGTTGTTGTCATGTTATCATTGCTATTAGACGAGCGGGTGGTTTTCCTTGATTGACCATGAGAAAGGGCATTGTTTAAAATCTTTTTTAGGCAGGTTGTAACGTTGAGAAATGGCGTTTCCTTGCATGATCGAGCTTCATCGTTCACGGGTGAATCGTCGAACTTTGCCTTTTTAAGAAAATGAATTGTTTCCAATTTATCCTCACGTGACTCTGCACTCGGGAGTGTAAAATCGACAAGCGTTTTTTGCGACCATCTTTTGTTTTCTTCGGTATCAATTTTCTTTCTATTCTCCTTACTCAAAGGACATGTTTCGTTGTCATCCGAGTTGAGCTTGGAATGATCAACAAACGTTTCCATAGAAAAATTATTCTCGGCGTCGGTTTGACTGAATTCAGAAGAATCGAGAGGTTCCAAAGAAAAACTTTGATAGACATTTTGAAACTGAACCAGATTTGCATATAAATTTGGTGATGGACAGTCAGTTATAAAGGCGTGATATTGATCAATTCTGTGAGGTGTTTGTGGACTGTGGCAGTAAAAAGAAAAAAAAATGAGTTTCGTTGATGACAAATTGAGGGTAAAATTGCGACACTCATTATTCTCCAGAATTTAAGGACATTTTAGATACAAACCTAAAGAATACCGGCTTGATATTCTCTTTCCCGTGACTTTCTTCTGCGTTTTCTGCCGCGTCGACCATTTCGAGTTCATTTTCCGGATTTTTATTTTGAATCGATAAATTCTTGAGATTTTGTTTTTGTTGCAAAAGTGTAATGAGTTTTATCGTTTGTTCACGTGTGATATCAAAGAAGTCGAGAATTCCTTGAAGTACGGAATGGTAGATTTCAGCGGTGGAGAAGGGTTTTAAAGAATTGGACGAGCTCATGATTTTGGATTTATGTACAGGAGAAGGGAATGATAATAATTTTTTTTAAAAAATTAATCTAAGAGAATTATTTCTTTTTTTAAAAGAATAACAAGGTCTCGCCTTGATATCTTAATTTAATGAATGAATGAAGGATGTGTTAGATTTATATACTTGATACATTAAAAAATGAGTCCAATTCAAAGAATAATGTTTTAGGGAGAACGAGTGATATTTAGTTCCGCTTTG